GCGAGCGAGAGCGAAAAAGGGGTGCAAATTGTCATTGACGCTCAATGATTTCTGGGGCGGTTCTTGGGTTGGCGGGCCTTGGAAAGTGATTCAAGTGAGCTTGCAGAGTAGAGTCGAGTGTATGTACATAGAGTCGAATAGGTAGAGTCGAGTAGAGAGAGCTGACCACTCGGACTGGGCCTGCGTGCATGTTGTGTGTCTCGGATCAAGCACGAATGTACCCACAGTACTCTAGAGTAGAGCTTCGGATCGTCGCTGTTACGGCCTTGGAATTATCAATCGGGGTGCAGCCGCGAGATCTTCGAGTCTTGGATTTTATTTTTCTTTGTTCCTTGGAAATGGGGAATGCATGTTCTGTCTCTGGTTGCGAATAGGCTTTGGGGCCCTTGGAAAATAGACTTTACAGGCTATTTCAAATAGATCTAGATGGAGTGTGTGCATCTAGAGCGTTGCATCTGCAATCTGAGACTTTGGGGGTCTTATTGAGGTAGATGGATACTTGATGTGTCATTCCAAATACCTATTGGATCTAGAGTTGGAGCCTTACTTTTGGATAGATGAGAGTGCATCATCTTATTGCTAACTACGGAGACGACATCTTTTCAGGCTTTCAAGACTTGGAAACCTGGAAGGAGGATGAGCGCATCAAACCTCCCCCCCAACCCCGGCACCCACCCTCTGCAGCCACTCCCCGCCCACCAATCCCTCCTCCACCGCATCCACCACAACCCCGCACACCGTCTCCCCGCCCTCCACCAGCGCCCTCACCACCTCCTCCCACCCCTCGCCCCGCTCCTCCACAACCACCATCCGCTCCTTCACCCCAGCCTCGCCCTCCACCCCACCGCCCAACCTCCGCGCTCCACGGTAATACACCCCCGCATTCCGCACTAACATCCCCCTACTCCTCACCGCCACATCCACTCCCAGCCGAGCCCTCAGCAGCTCCACGTCCCCGCGCGCAACATGGATCTCCCCCCTTGCTGGCTCCGCCGCCGCAGCACTGCTCAGCGCCGCCGCCGCCGCCGAGTAGTGCCGCCACGCCACAAGCTCGTCCGAGACGCTGCCGGCGAGCTGGATGTGCGCGTCGGCGCGGTCGCACAGCGCCTGCACGCCGTCGACGCCGTCAAAGGCCGCGGTGATCCCGGCTTCGTAGTCGGCGAGGGGCCCGCCAGCGCGGAATGCGGCCTCTGCGGCGGCAGCCAGGAGGTTGGCGCGCGACAGGGCGGCTTCGGGTTCGCGGGAGGTGGCGTGGGCGAGTGGGGGGATAGTGGTTGTGAGGAGGTGCTGGGCGGTGGTGAGGGTTGTGGAGAGCGGGGGGACGTGCGGGAGGCCTGTAAGCGGGAGGAGGGTGCCGAGGGTGCTGAGGAGGGCGAGGGCGGTGTCGAGGAGGGTGCTAGGGGTGGTGGGGGGCTGGATTATGGCCCATTGCTCGGTGGTGGTTTGGGGTGGCGCGTTGGGGGCGCCTGTGCTGGCTTCTGAGTGTTCGTCGCCCATGTCCATGGCGGTGTCGTCGCCCGCCTCTTGCGTCTGTGTCTGTGTCTGCTGCAGAGCGGCATACTGCGCTTCCTGTAGTGCCAGACAGCGCTGTAGTATCTCGACCGCCTCGACGAGGAGCTGGGCAGCCTCTGTCTTTGCCTCGATGGGGGCAGTCCGATACTCAATCAGGACCTCAGCAAAGCTGCACAGCACCTGACCTGTATTACTGCCATCCCCGAAAAACCAGTCAGCTCTGCACTACTTCTAGGCACTTTTAGGTACCAGGTAGAGGGCTTACAAGAGCGCATCTTCATTTGCCGGGTCCAGCGCCAGGCAGCGCCGGTGGCTGTCGACCGCGGTCTTGAGCAGGAGGCGCGAGCTGCGGTGCGTGTTGCCTGTGAGCTCGGGATGCTGGGCGAGCTGGTATTGCAGGCGGGCACTAGGCGGGGCAGGGCGGGGGGTTAGTCAGTGGACGGCGGGGGAGGGGATGGATGGGGATGTACAGGTTGTAGGCGGTGTCGAAAAAGGTGGGGTTTAGCTGCAGGGCGGTATTGTAGCAGTCAATCGCTTTTTGGTAGAACCGGCCGGCCTGTGGATATAATTCCCTGCATTACTATGCAGTCCTTTGCTTCTTGGGAGGTACCAGATAGACTAGTAGATATGTACCTTTAGCTTATCACCTGGCCGCCAGCGATCACCGGATTCTTCATGCTCGATGCCGACTATTGGTGATCCATGCATATATCAGCTGCTGTGACCCTTCCTTCCTCTTCCTTCTTTCCTTCTTTTTTCTGGATGTGGAGGGAAGGGTGCTCACCATCCAGAAACTCGTCCGCTGTCTCAGGGACCTACTGCACCCCCGCGCGTGTGAGCACTCGATCTACTATCTATAGCACTGACCAACCGACTAAAGCAGCACGCTCACTGCAGGAGAGGGAGGAGGAGGAGGGCATGCCTTTTTGTTTTTGCGCTTGTTGCTTTGCGGCTTGGGCGGGAAGCGGTGCTTTGGCATTTATTTTGTGCGTATCTGTATGTATGTATCTGTATGTGTGAGGGTGTGTGAGTATTGGCGAGTGTGCCTGAGGTGGGGTGGGATTTCAATGGGTCCCGGGGGGGGGGAGGGGGGGGACTGGCGGCGGAATTGGATATCAGCAGCAGATAGAGGGAGAGATAGAGAGAGAGATAGGAGAGAGATAGGAGAGAGATAGAGAGAGAGATAGAGATCTAGAGAGATAGGCGCAATTGATCACTGACTGCGTGAGACCGAGTGGATGTGAGTGCTGGCTCCGCGGAGAAGCAGAAGAAGAAGAAGAAGAAGAAGAAGAAAGAAAAGGCTGCTCAGGATCGATCGCGGGCGGGGCGCTGAGATGCGGCTCTGCGGCAGTGGCGTCTGGCTGGCTGGCTCGGGGGTGCGGTGTGGCTGGTGGGGAGTGGGCGGGCGGGCGGGCGGGCGGGCGGGCGACTGCAGACCCGGCCGCGGAGAGCAAGACAGTTTGTGTGGTGGGGCCAAATAACCGGAAATCCAATCATTGGTCCCTCTGCCCTCGGTCTCAGCTGGTTGGCGGACAACAGGGGAGCCCTCACCCAGAATCTCAGTTATCGCCCACACGCCCCCCCCCCCCCTCCCCCTCCCCCCTCCCAAGGCACCAAACACACAGGCCCCGAGGGATGTCCGAGTGCCTGTGCCTGTGCCTGTGCCTGTGCCAGCGCCGGATAGGTATTGGCCCAAAGACCGGGTGCTGCAGGTGTTTCACTGCAATTGGCGCACAGGCACCGGCGTGCATTGATCGTTCTGGTTGACGTTTGGTTGGAGCCATGGCCAGCATACAAGATACGATACATACTCAAGTTGGGAATTAATCGGCGGGATCCATCTATATTTGGCTCTCTAATATCAAGATTCAAGACAGCTCCCTCCCCGGTTTGACTCTGCGCTTCTACCGCTTAGCAGAAGAAACACCTCGCACCACGCTGCCGGTAATGAGCTCTTTGTTTGGCCTGGTTTCATTTCGCGGTGGGGACGGGCGGCGGGTCGGTTGGTTGGTTATATAACTGCACCTCCCACCACCACCAACAGCTGCCACTGCTGGTATTTACTACTAATCTTTGTAAATAATGAAAAGCCGCGCATAAAAAGCGATCTATGCACACCAGACTTGTGACATCTTGCGGGAAACAACCCCGGGTTTTAAAGAATGGCCTCCCAAGAAAAGAAACAGGAAAATTACTGAATTAAAAGAAAAGAAAGAAAGGGGAAAGAAAAGAAAAGAAAAGAAAAACTTCCAAAAGAGAGAAAAAGGAAAGAGTACAAGAAAGGCAAAGAAATACAGAAAGCATACACCCATTACTCCCCCCCCCCCATTCCAAGCTTAAGCCCGCAGGTAGCCTCTCCGCCGCCGCCGCCGCCGCCTCCACTCCTACAGATCACTTCTCCCCTCCCCTTACTCCTCTCACACACCTAACTCCCATCCAGCAGCCCCCCCTCCTTCACCAGCATCGCCTTCCCCTCATTCACGGCCTGCACCGCGCCCTCCAGCCCAGCAATGTTCCTCCCCAGTAACCCCAGCAGCTCCTCAATCTCCCGTCTCTGCGCCTCGATGCCCGCAATCAGCCCCGCGTTCTGCGCCTGCACGTCCGCGATCCGCAAGTTGACCTTCTCCTGGGCGGCGGCGAGGACGGGCGCGAGCTGCGCGCCCATGATCACGTCGGGCGGCAGTGTTGAGGGTCTGTTTTGTAGATTAGCAACAATCCCCCCCTTGGGAGGTATGTAGATGGGTAGGTAGATAGAGAGAGAGGGGAAGGGGGGTAGTAAGGTAACGTAGGAGAGGGGGGGAGGGGGGGGCATACGGAATCGGCACCTCCCCCGCCGGCGCAGCAGCCCGGCGCTCTTCGGCTTCGCGGATCAGCACGTCCAGCTGGTTCAGGCTCTCGATGGCATTGCGCTCCTTCAGTATCTTTTCCCACTCGACCTATTATCCCACGCAACCCACTCACACTCACTCACTCATTAGCCACCTCTTCCTCTCCCTCTCCCTCTCTCCCTCTCTCTCTCACTCTCTCTCTCTCTCTCACTCTTCCTCCCCGCGCCGCCCCCCCACACAGAAAAAGGACAGGAGAACAAACCATCGACCGCCCCTCGAAATACGCGCACATCTCCTCCCACGCGCGCTTCAGGTTCTCCGGCGCATTTTGGGCGGGCGTCGGGAAGCACTTTGCAAAGTTGCTGTAGGAGCACGTCTTGATGGAGTGCTCGAGCGAGGTTGCAAACAGCGCGCGCAGGCGGGTTGCGCGTGGGCCGTCGGGCTCCTCTGTTGCTGCTACTGCGGCGGCGGCGGTGGTGGTGGTGGAGATTGAGGTGGGGATGGGTTCTGGGTTCTGGGGCGGGTTGGCCGACATTTGGAGGTGTGCGTGGGTGGTGGGGGCGGGGAGGCGGGCGGAAGAGGGTGGACGCGTTGAGTGCAGTGTGGTGGTGGTGGTGGGGGAGAAGTGTTGATATGGGGAATGTGGGGCAGGAGGTGCATGGTCGCATGGCCCAATGGCAAGGCGCTTGACTACGAAACTTCTCTTGAGAGGTGGGGAATCAAGAGATTCCAGGTTCGACCCCTGGTGCGATCAGGAAAAGAGAGAGCTACGTGTTTCTTCACAGGCTGGTGTTTCGGCATGAAGTTCGCTGAATGCTGCTCTTCTAGTCTTTTTGTTTTGTATTTCAGTTGTGAAAACAATATATATTTTGTCATTGGGCGTTTTACTAGTAACCACCCACCCAAAAGGACTTCTACGACTGTAACTCTTGACTGTTGAAAAATGCTTCTTTTACAATAGGCAGCCCTGGTTTGTGAGATTGCGCTTTGAGCTTCTGGCATTTGATTCTCTAAAAGATAACAGGTCATTGATAACTGCAGGGGTAATCTCACTTGCAGGGCATTTCATTGGGTAAAAAAAGTGCATTGTGCTATATAGCACCGATGATATATGATATATATAGGGCACTGCTGGTGGCACAGGATATCACTCGGCCTCGAATGACAGTGAATGGCCGGCCAAAGCTTTTTTTTTTTTTGCCATTTTAGCATATTCACACAGTACCTACATAAAATGTGTGCGTCACTTCTGTCTGGTTTGGAAAAAACTATTTGGTATTCATTTCTTTTCTCTCTTCTTTCTTTTACCCGCAGTTTAATTAAAAACCGCCTACTTGAGCAGGAACTTTGCATGGTAGTTGACATGGTCCTCCGCAAACGACGAGATGAAGAAGTAGCTGTGATCATAATCCTGCATACCAAAAAGAAAAGAAAAAGAAGAAAAAAAGAGCAAAGCTTAGCAAACTTTCTCTCTCAATTCACAATATATATAACTGGCGGCGGGGGGGGAGTTTGTCGTGCTTACCTTCTGGTACCTCACATTGACGCCCTTCTCGACGCCCTTCTCCTTCGCCGCAGCCTCAAAGTTCTCCGGCAGCAGCTGCCCATTCTTGTAAAAGTTGTCGCCCGTGCCAACATCAATCAGCGTCTCAAAGGGCCCCTCCCACTTCTTGAGAAGCTCTGTGGCATCGTGCTCGGCCCACTTGCCCTTGTTGCTGGCGCCAAAGTAGCCCGTGAAGGCCTTCTGTCCCCACGGGCAGTTGGTCGGGTTTGTGATTGGCGCCAGTGCAGAAACGGACCGGTATTTCCCCGGGTTCTTCAAGAACTAGTCCCTCATTCTCAGCTACTACACACACACACACATACACTTGCCCGGGTTACCTGGGAGGGGGAAGAAGACAGCTATCTATCCTTACCAAAGTCAAAGCCCCATGCCCACCCATCGAGTGTCCTGTGATGCTGACCCGCCTGCCATCCAGCACCTCAAAGCTCTCAAACAGCGCCTTTGGCAGCTCTTCGGTGATGTACGTGTACATGTTGTAGTTGTTCTTCCACTCGCTCTCGGTGGCATCCACGTAGAAGCCGGCACCGGAGCCAAAGTCCCAGCTCTCGTCCTCGCCCTGGATGTTGGCCCCGCGCGGCGAGGTGTCGGGGTACACGATGGCGATGCCGTGCTTGGAGGCGTAGGACTGGAAGAAGCCCTTCTCGGCGCAGTTGTCGCCCGTGCAGGTCAGGCCCGAGAGGTAGATCAGGACGGGCACCTTTGTGCTGGAGCCGGTGGTGGTGGTAGCGGAGGGCGGGAGGTAGAGGTTGAGGGCCATTTTCGTCTTGGTTGAGGTGCCTTTGATTGGGGGGAGGGGCAAATTACTCTTAGTGATTATTCGTTGTTAGCTTTGCTCAGCTGGAACTTACTCTCATGCTCCAGCTTGAGGAGTTTGCCGCCAAAGTTGGCAATGGTCGCTTTTGTCTCGAAGCCCATCTTGGAAGTGTGTATCGAGCGCTGTTGCTGAAGATTTGCTATAGGGGTTTGAATTCGTACTTGAGATGCAAGCAGAGCGAGTCTCTTGAGGGCCTGAATTTTGAAATAAAAGGAGGGGTGTCTTGTAGAAAATATGGATGGGACAGGAAAGAAGACAAAAAAAGTAGATATCGATATGAAAAAAAGATTCGATATCAAGGAGCGGGGATGACGTTATGTATCACGTCCTGCCAAGGATGCTCAGTAATATCTCCGAGAGGTTTAGGGGAAACATCGGGATTAGGGCGGGGAGGAAGGAAGCTGAGCACCCTTGCAACCAACTTTTTCGCACGGTTATGCGCGCGGAGTAGAATGTGGGGGAGCTGGAGGACGATCTTCCGCTGCCCGTTCGTCTTTTTGGAATTACTCCAATTTCTCACGGCTTAATAATTCCGGGTTGTTCCTCTTTCTTTTTTATTCCGGGTGATATTCTGTGAGGAACCGCGGATTACAAGTATGTGCTACAGTTGCTGTACTTTTTGCGACATGCCTTATGAAATCTGCTATATTTAACCAGTGGCCAAAATTGTTTGAGAAGTTATCGCGTCCAGACGAGCCAGCCCTCCTTAATGGATCTTTATACAATTACATGGTCGAGCAGACTTGGCATAGCCCACTGATAAGCTCGATTCCCTCAGCTATACCCATAATCCCGAGAGGAGAGCGCTTTACGGGGCTTTGAATCTGCTTTCTTTTGTGCTTCATCTTTGAAAGCCTCTGGCTCTGGGCTTGTATTATCTTCTGAGGAAGGGATTTCAGATAGGCCCTGCTTCTTGCGAGCCTTTGCCTGCCAGACCGCATCTTCTTCCTCGATTTCCCTCAGCACTATAATGGTGTTAGTAGTGCGAATATGTAAACCTTTTCTTTTCTACCAAGATCAAATTCAGGTCGCATACCGTCTTCCCAGCTCTTTTCATCTTTCTCGTTCCCTACACCGAGCATTCCCTCTACGTCCACATCTTCTCCCCGTTGAAGTCTTTCTATAACCTCCTTGAGGACTGCAATCTTTACATTTGCCCGTCGCATGCGCTCATCGTGATTAAGCCTCAGCGCAATTATCTGGATCGCTTGTGACCCAATCAATAGGAAGATAGCCTGCGCCAGACGGGATATCAGCCTCGGAGCCACCCAGGTGCTGTTATGCCACAGAACTGCGGCAGGCAGGAGAATTTGACGAACAATATAAAACGTTGCCGGGTTCCATGGCTTCTCCCCCTGCGGCCCCTTTGCCTTCGAGTCTGATTTGGAAGACTGCCAGTAGATCCTAGGGTCAAGAAATCGAGGAAGATATCTAGTGGATGCGCTCGCTGGCGCTGGATGCTTCAATTGGTGCATGGAAATCGTTGAGAAACCCGAAACGCCGTTGGGCGTATGGGGCCGTTGAGCCGCCGCATTCGCAAGACGTATGAACGGTCGTAATCGTAGAGCTGCCATAGGTTTATCTTCGCAGTGACGATGAGGAGGGGTACGGGGTTGACAGAGTGGGATGTCGATTTTCCACCAGAGCCGCCTGGTTGTCGTGGTAACGAACGGCAAGTTGCGTCTCACCCCCCGGCGCACTGCATGTTTATGCATGTTTGCCCTCTCCATAGCTAGCTTCCTCCTCCGTCGCAAGTACCTCCCAAGCGACGTGTTCTTCAACCACCAATAACCTCCCAAACCCTTCTACTCAATCAACAGATGTTATTAGGAGGATTTGACATGATGGTATGATTATTTTTCCACCTGCAATGCTTGAATTAATGCTAACAACATTCCAGGCAAGCACACGCACATCTAAACCATCCCCTCTCGGATATGCTTTGGAACATTCTGGCTTCAATGGCACAAATGGGTCTTCTTCTGCAAGGACCATGAAGCGATCGGCCTCCGGGGCGTTCACTCAGCTCTCGAGCACTCAGATCCAAGAGCTTAAGGAGAGTTTCCAAATGCTAGATAAGGATGGTGACGGTGTTATTGGAAATGACGATTTGGCGGCTATGTTGAGTAGTCTAGGTAAGAGACTCCTTTTACTTTATCTTTATACAGCTGCTCCTATATACCCTATCCAAGTTCTTTGTTGATTTTTTTTTTCCCTTTAAATCTATAGGTCAAGAGCCCGCCTCTTCTACTCTCTCCGCGCATCTATCTTCCGTCCCAGCTCCTTTTAACCTTGCATCTTACCTGACGCATCTCTCTCAACATTTATCACTCTTGACCCCCGGACCTGACCTACTAAGCGCATTCGAAGCCTTTGATGATAACGATGACGGAACCATCGATGTTGCTGAGCTTAAGGAGGCTCTGACAGGCATGGGGGAGAGAATGAGTGATGAGGATGTCGATCGGGCGTTAAAGGGTTTTACTAAGCGGAGAGCGCTCGCTAGAGGGGCGGCTAACCACAGCAGCAACTATGGGGGCGAGGTCTTCAAGTACAGAGACTTCGTGGACGTCCTTTCGGGCAAGGAGGAAGAAAAAGAGTAACGATGTTTATAGCTGGTTCAATGGCTTTCATTCGGTCCTCTTTCTGGCTGGGCTTTACGGTTTATGGTGGATACATTATGCGTGATATCGATATCCAGGAGTTTGCTTGTTTGGTTTGTTGGAGAAGTTCTTAATATTCTTTCCTTGATCATCGTTGCCGGTCGCACCTATCATCCTGTAATCCTTCATTTGTATACTAGAGTTGGTCTAAACATTCATTGAAGTAATTACCATACCAAACGAGTTTAGATTCTAGTAATTAATTATTCTCGGTTGCATTCATGGTCGCATGGCCCAATGGCAAGGCGCTTGACTACGAATCAAGAGATTCCAGGTTCGACCCCTGGTGCGATCAAAATAGCTGTTTGTTTTTTGGTTGTGAGGACTTTTTACTCTTACAAAAACATCCAATCACCCAGTCAGAGAGGTTGTTCCGGTTCATTTCACGTCATCACTGCTGGAAAGATATAGTATCGTTCTAAAACATAGATTCTTCCCCCAACGCAAATCCCCCTCCCTATGAGCGCAATTGACACAGACAGGTCCATTGCTTGATATTCCGGTCCGAGGAACAGCTGAGTTCTTTTAGGTAGTCACAACACGGACCGGATCAGTAAAGACATGAAAGGTGTCGAGTCGGAGTAACGCATAGAGTTTCTGTTTTAGGTATCCAGCTAGCATCTGAAATCTCCGTTCCTTCCTTTAAATACTACAATAACACACACACACCCTTGGGTATCATGGTTCATGGTCCATCACTGGAGCGAGTGATATACTGTGATTGGAAAATCATTGACATTATGGAGAGCTCTGTAAATTTCGCACTCATTCGTTCATTCATCAATTAATTAGTTCACTAGGCACACGTACTCGCACTGCTGGATTGAAGTCCCTCAAACAAAAAAAAGGCAATTGATCTGAATACTGCAAAAAGGTGGGCTTTTATTGGCTGCCAGATCACTCGCAAGTACTTAGGGCCCGTTCGGTTACACCTATATGTCGTGATATTTGGCCTAACAGAGAGGGGTTCTTGACATACCTGGTAACAAATATGCCTTTTAGGTCGAATATCACCATATTTGAGTGCAACCGAACAGGCCCTAAGGTTTTATTCACAGCCTTCCCTCCAAGGCATCCAATTGTATCGCCACAATATGATAGGTTAATCGTTCATTGCAATTGGTTGGTGACATAATAAAGTAGTAGAAAAGGAAAGACGAAACGGGCCGTTGAGTGAGCCGGAAGGGAACGACATGCAGAGCAGAATAATTTTGTGCATTGGCCTGATGTAAACGTAGGCTTTCGTCCACATGCCAAACACCCCCACCCCGTTACTTGTCATTCACATGCAAAGGCTAGGGTACCGTTTACTCGATGCTCCAACGCTCAGGCTTAAGGCTCGTATCTCGTGATCCCCGTTACCCCTCCGTTTTTTACTGTCTTTCGTTTCCTTTCGTATTGTCTAATTGACACCGTGCGTAAGTGCCATTCTTAACAAAAACCCTACAAATCCTCCTTATTGGCTACTGGAGCGTGGCCGTAATATCCCACAACAATGAAAATGAGGAGTGATGGATTCGGCCAATGGAATTACCAGATACCAGCCTGAGCGCCACTGTCATGACTGTGTTTAAGAGTTACCGTAATAAGGATGTCGAACCAAACAATAATTTGTTCCAAACAAACAAAATCATTATAAGAACCACAACCAACAAATAGCCAGACCGATGATGATGCTTGACCCAAGTGAAAAAAGATTCCAACAAAAGAAATGATTTATGTTGATCACACCAGGGGTCGAACCTGGAATCTCTTGATTCGTAGTCAAGCGCCTTGCCATTGGGCCATGTAACCATGTTTATTTTATCAAGCTAGACATTTTTCGACCATTATGAAGGGATTTGGCATTTTTCCAAACCGAGGATCTCGGCAACAACTTTGAAAATGCAAACGACGGTAAATCATGCTTCGCAAGCACTCAATATCGCAATGATGGAGAGGCTTGAATCATGGACAATCACTCACTACAACGACGAAAGTAACTTTAATCGTTGCACCTCAGGAAAGAAGTATGTAAATTCGAAAAAATGCATTTGAACTGGGTGGCCAAGCGTTACTACGTGTAGCTGATGCGAAGGAAGAGATAAACAGTGAAAAAAAGAGAAAAAAATATAACCCCCAAATCCTTCGCCACGCACTCCAAACATAAAACACGCCAAGCATAAAACACTCCAGGCATAAAACTCGACTTAGAACGTGAAACAAAACAAAGAGCTAATGCCAGGACTAGTATAAAAGAAAGAAGGAAAAAAACGAGTATTCCCCGTGCCATTAAATCCCAAATCATCATCATCATCGTCGTATTGGGTCGGGGCGAAGGCCAAGTTCAAACGAGCTCATCCTTCTCCTCGTAAACTACTGTCCATTGCCTATCAACGGGGCCAGTGCTCAGCTCACTCCAGCGATCACATTCCTCAATCTCGGACCTTGTCACATTTCCATACTCGGAATCGCTCATATCCTCCTCAGACTGTTTGGAAATGTTGATAATCGACTCATCCATGAGCTTACAATCTAGTCCGGACCCCTCACCGCCCGTGTCCGTAGTCGCATTACTCCCATTGGTGCCCAAAGTCGTCGCAACCCTCGTTGGTGGTGGAGGTGGTGGGGGCATAAAATACCCCTCAACCTGTGAGCCCATCGAGGCTGCCAACCCCGCGTTTGTAGTCCTTCTCGTTGGAGGCGGTGGCCCCGGGAAGTAGTCTTCCGGAGCGCCATCATCTATTGAGAACGCTCTTCTCCCAAATCCGCCAGGGGGGATGCCAACACCGCCGCCATTATCTTCATCGACCATTGATTTAGTAGGAGGACTCGGCTGTTCAAGTGGACACCCTCGGTCCGTAACATGGCGCAAGGTGATGAGCGCCCAGTCGCTATCAAAGCTGCGGTTCCACTCCTCTTGAGTGCGCTGGCCTTGCCAGCCCTTAGCTTCCCATTTAGCTTCGAGCCTTGTGAAGAGCTCTGGACTACGGCGCTCAATACGCTGGACGTTCTCGATTGAATACCAGCCTGCAAACTCCCAGATAGCCTTTTGAGCTCCGCCAGGGTTGCTTGGAAGTGCGGGGTCCCATTGAACCTGGCGGAAGAGCGGGATGGGAACAGCTTGTAGGGTCTTGAGAGATGTACCGAAGACGAGATGCAGGTTGGACTTTATGAAGATCTCTGATGGGAATGAGGGTTGCTGGGTGTCAGATATGAGGATGCGGGATATGCGTTGTGGGTCGTCGATGCTGCCAGTCAGGGTATCCTCGTTGGTGTTTCCAAAGTGCTGCTCAAGCTGGTCGCGTGTGTAAGTGTTGTTAGTACGGGATGAACGGGCACGCCACTTCGGGGCATGTGTAGAGGTTGGAGATAAGGGGGGCGAAGCTGCAGCCATTGTTGAAATGTTTTGTGAGAGTAAGAGTGGATGTTTGGTATGTAGGAGACAAAGAGGTGTCAAGTGTCAAGTGCCAAGTTGGCGAGTTTTGATGCTTCCGGAGTTCCTTTACAGTGTCCTGTAGTGGATATAGTTGGTGATAAGATGATAAGATAAGATCTAGAGTTCGTCATAAATCTGGGTGAGGGGGAAAGGGGAGGCCCTGAGTGGAAGGGATTGACCAATGATCGTGTGGGGAGGCAAAGGGTGGGCCAATGATTATCCCGAAACTATCCCTGGTCCTACCCTAAATAAACACCCGTTCGAACGTTCGCTGTTCCTCTTAACCCGATAGGCAACAACCGCAACAGATCGATCGTCCTGTTATTGCGGGGAGAAACTTCAACAGATATGATATATCTATCGATAACGCACTGGTGTAAAGATCCACATGAACCGGCTCTTTGTTGTTGCTGTTGCTGTTCTTGCGGGATATTCGCCATGGCTCATACAAACTCGTGAAGAGTAATATCCCGGTCCTACCACAACGAATTTTCGATGTGCTGCGTGTACGCGAAGCTCACAAAACACTGATGATTTCATGGTACTTGAGGGGCCGAAGGTTGGTCGAGAATATTCAAACTCCAACCATGATTCAGCCTAACCAAAAAGCGGTAGGATTTTCTCTAAACCAAGATCCAAAAATTTCAAGGAAAATCATTATCCTCTACTCTATGCTATCAGACCTTCGTCACACTCCCTCCTGTAAAACCTTGGTTTCGGGGGGTCTGCTGGCTCCTATTACCACCCTTCCCATCACTGTGACTATAAAAACTCAGCAAAAGACCTCAGATTTTCAAGTCATCGCGTCAACAGTTTGATCAACGCTGAGCTTTATATACGCCGGGGGTCCGGGGTGCCGCTGTCTTTGAGATGTCTCCGTCACTGACGGCGGACCCTGTCCTCAGCATTTCTTCTAATTTGGGCCGACTCCAGTTCTTGTAGTCGGAAAAAGGCTCGTCTGGACTCAAGAGGACTAAAGAGTTGAGGCCCATTGCTAACGAGTAGTAGCTACAGTCACTCACCTAGTGACGGCGGATCCTGTCTGATGGTTGTGCCCGTGGTAATTTACTCTTGGCGTCCTAAACTTAACTCTGCTATTGGCCTCAAAATCCCTGACCGCCATCAGACAGGATCCGCCTTCACCCCGTGAGTGACTGTACACACCAACAGTAAGAAAATTTGCACCTCACCCCACAGTAAAAGAACGAGGGACGTTAGAACTCGGTAGCTGCCGAAATTAAACCTCGATGTCGATGACGTTGTTAAGGTCAACACCAACAACTGCTCTCAACAAATAAACTAGCTTCTTACTAAAAACCCTGTCCGAAAATCATTTCCCGGCGGAAGCCCCCAAGATGGTATTTGCCGAAACAACTTTGTAACTCTATCACAACATCAACTCAATTAGCCCTGCACAGTGCAGACATTCAACCGGGGTGGGAAACGACCATTTTTATTTACCCCCCTGCGAGTATTTCGTGAAGATGCAAGTGGTAAGTGCCTTGCATATGGCTGTCAGGTTCCTCAGGAGTCAACACGTGTTTGAAGCTTTGATTTGGCAGTAATAATATATTTCGTCCCTCCCTACAGAAAAAAAAAAGAATACTCGCTCTTTCGCGAAATATCCATCATTATACCCACCCCCAGCCATTATGAACTTATATTACACGACAAAACTATATGTTCCCCACCCCCATTGATGAGTGGGGGGGGGGGGAGGGAAAATTTCACAAAGGAGAAATGTGAGAGTGATGGTCCATGATTCTCCACTCATAGCTCTCCGCTGAAATGCCATGACTAAAAAAAAAGAAAAAGAAAAAAAAGACGAGAGGGAAATAGTTAAACAAAAATCGACGAACGAAAAATAAAGTAAAACGCCAGACCCCTCCTAATTGAAATCTCAATGAAGTCAACTACTGCACAATACACCCTGTGCAATTGATACTCCCCTTAAACGGCGGCTTCTGCCCATTCGCCCGCAACTCCCCAGACCTATCTACAACCCAATCCGTATCCACATCTTCAACCACATTCCGCCCAGGTGTCTCTTCAGACCATAACCTCACGATAACAACTCTCTCGTCCATCACCACAATCAGACGCTTCGCATTTCCGGTGATGCCGACAATCTCCCCACCCTTGCCAATTGCAATCTCCCTTAAGTCCCGAGTGATCGACAGCCCTGATGCAAGATCTTCCTCTTGCGACGGGATCGCATTAATAGTACCCACGTGCATCGGGATCTGCCTTAGAGGTAAAATTTTGATGTATCCGGGGCGATGGTTGAACGCAATATAACCTCCTTCCTTGCCCCCTGGTATGACTGCATACCCGCAGTGTTTCAACGGCCTATCTGCAGCTGTAGCCTCATCTGAGGTGGGTTTCTCCGAATCGGGAACAGAATTGTTATCGTGTTGACGATACAGTGCCATCTTACTAGTAAATGGGGCTACAGAGATAATTCTGATCAATCTGGTTTCCACTTCTGTCACGATATAGAAAGAGTCGTAGAGGTGAATTGCAGACTCGACTGCCATCTGGCCCCCTGTATTGAATGAGTGTGCATGCCAGCGGTGAGTTTGTCTATTTGCTGAGGAATCACTGATTTCTATCCCTGTTTCTTTATGCGTCGTCGTCCTTCTGGAGTTAAGTTTAGCCTTGTAGTAGCGCCAAAGTAGATCTGGGGAATGCGTGGCATTAAGAATGTCTTCGCCGGGTTTAATAGAACATTCTTGACGGCGTTTGAGCTGCACAGGGTCTTCACTACTCCAGAGTGCACCGACATACCCCGAGAGTTGGAGGTCATGGTCATAGTCCCCCCGCGTTGATACAGAGACCTGTCGGCCACGCATAGCAAATGCTAATGGAAAGGAGGCACCAATGCTCGAGCCGCTTGTGACAAGGAGCCATGGGTTCTGCTTAGCAGCGGAGTTGGGACATGAAAGCGTTTCTTTCTCCTTTTCCTTCCCTTTACGTGAAGGATCTGCTACTATGTCTTCCTCTTGCTCTTCGATATGGCCACGGAAGAAACCGCCCCGTTTTTGGGTCAGTGCATACGAGGGATGTAACAAATATATCGAGGATGCCAATACAGACACTAATGGCGTTGAATCAGTACCCGGCGTGATCGCGATGGCAGTTGGGTGCCGGATCTGTGGGATTTTGACGGAGTAGACTTGCACAACCATGAAGGACGGGGTGTTCCGAGCCAGCAGCGAATACATGCTAACACCGCCTTCGTCCAAGACTGCCAAGTAAGCTTCCGATATCGCCAGCGCTATCGGCTGCTTTTTCACCGAAACTTTACACAGCAGCACCATTGGCCTTTTGGTAAGTTCGAAAATGTGTATGTGCTTGTTCTTTATGGAAATGGCTA